TGTTCAGGTTCGGTTTGGAGTTGGACTTGGTAGAGCAGAATGGGCATGGGAAAGAATCAAAACCAATGCAAACTCGTAATTACTTGCTTTGCCTACCAAAAATAAACACCAACACTAACTGTGATGTGCTGGTTTCCAGTCAAACATCCTACTGTTGAACCCAAATCCTAAGACTTGCATTAGAAATCCGGCACAGCTCGGCTAACCCTGGCCTAACTGAACCGAAATGTTTGGAAAATAATAAACCCCCCCGTTTAACCAGCTCTTTGGACCCATTCCAAACACTATCAACTGTCAAATTCATCCTTTTTGCCTCACACAAATTCATCCTTTTGCAATTGCTTCTTACCATTCAAAGGTGTACCCTGAATCCACTGCACTGCGTGCTATGCCACTGCATGCCACTCAGGTTTCTTAATTCCAACAATCTTTCCGGCCCCATCCCTCCATCCATTGGCTCTCTGCTCAACCTCGTTAACCTGTGAGTGCTGCCCTTTCTCTCCTTCTGGATTAACTGCCTTTCCTCTCATGCTGCCAGCTAGCTCGTCATGAGAAGACTTCACACCTGGCATAGACCTAGCTAAGGCCTGTTGTAATAAGCTGGCTGCCCAGATCCGACCCAAAAATTGTTGCACGCCTGCCACACAAGCCCACAAATCCGTCATTGAGCCCCATTGCCGCCCAAACCAAGGGCCTACAGGTAATGGGATCTGCGTTTTGAAACATGTGCATCCGTAAATGTTCATTTGCCTGTTTCGCCTGATCCTTGGTGTTTGCCCTTATTCAACCAAGAATCAACCACAATTTGTGGAGGGTACAACCAACAACCTTCACCTAAACAATTCTAGCATATGTATGTAGTAATAGAACATTACAACACCACAAACGTGTTGCAACGTGTCCCTTCATTTCCCTTCCCCACCCTTTGTCACACTAGCCCATCCGTGCCATAATTTGCCCTTCCTCTCCTACACACACCCCATTATCATCCTGTGCATCTCTCCGCCCCTCAGTTTTGTTCTCCTCACTTCTTGTCACTCGCCCGTTCGTCCTCTGCCCTGCATGCCTGTCTCGCAGTGATCTCTCGGACAACCAGCTTTCAGGGAGCATCCCTGGGAGCTTGAGTGGACTCACTCGATTGGCAATCATGTGAGATGCACTCACATTATCCTTCATGAGTATATGTCAGACATCACAGCCCGGTTTGTGGGACCCTGTTTGTGGGACCGTGTTTGTGGGACCCTGTTTGTGGGGACCCTGTTTGTGGGACCCTGTTTGTGGGACCCTGTTTGTGGGACCCTGTTTGTGGGACCCTGTTTGTGGGACCCTGTTTGTGGGACCCTGTTTGTGGGACCCTGTTTGTGGGACCCGGTTTGTGGGACCCTGTTTGTGGGACCCTGTTTGTGGGACCCTGTTTGTGGGACCCTGTTTGTGGGACCCTGTTTGTGGGACCCTGTTTGTGGGACCCTGTTTGTGGGACCCTGTTTGTGGGACCCTGTTTGTGGGACCCTGTTTGTGGGACCCTGTTTGTGGGACCCTGTTTGTGGGACCCTGTTTGTGGGACCCTGTTTGTGGGACCCTGTACACTTGTCACTTCGGATCTGGACAGCTGTGTATGCAGTTGGATTAAAAAATGCTGGCTTTGGTTTTCTACCTTGAGATCAAGATATTAAAATCAAAACAAGTCTGGTTACATAATGTGTTCATGCCCACACAACACATCAATCACACAGAACTCTACCTGCTTCCAACATGAATTTCCTATACATGCCTTAGAATGGGGTGCCAGGCCAGAGGGCCTGCCCTATCCGATGCTGCTTCGCAGTGAGGCTGCTCCTCCAGAGAGACTCCTTCCTGCTCAGTGGTGGTTTGTAGGGTCCTCATTCTCATTCATTTCTTCCCGGCTGTTTCAACCCCACCCACCATGGTCTCATTCAGAAACCTTTCCGACAACCAGCTTTCAGACAGCATTCCTGCTAGCTTGAGTGCTCTCACCAAATTGTCCTACCTGTGAGATACAACACCTGGTGGTTCACTCACTTTGGTGTTATGTGTACCAGTTCAGCGCTACATGAATGTGCAGTCTGTGCATCCCAGAAGTGAAGTGATCCACCATGCGTTTGAAACAGGAATCGTTTGTGTCCTAGTCTAAAATATTTCTCTTATCTTGCACCACTTTCACCTGACGCAACAACAGTAGTTTACTCTCCCATATGCACGTGACGCGTGCATGCACCAGTCTTTGTCTCGGGTGCCTCCATGTGCATGTGTGCATTCATGCCTCTGAGGGCTCTAACCTTCCTTTGGCATTCTGCGCTGTCTGCCCTTTTCTTTCTCAGATCGTTATCTACGAACCAGCTCACCAGCTCTATCCCAGCTGAAATGGGCTCCCTGGAGTCACTGGCAATTCTGTAAGACTTCTCGCCTTCATTCTTTTCTTTCTCACTGGAGTCTCCCTTCTATCGTGCCCTCATTCGCCCCCTCACTCGTTGCATAATGTGCTGCCATGCCTCATGCCATGCTTCTATGCTTCGTACCACTGTTGGGTTTTTTTTTTTTTCACTTCTGCCATCCCATTCGTTACATAGAGACCTTTTGACCAATCAGCTTCAAGGCAACATACCTCATCAGTGCTCTCACTCACATTGTAGCCTTGTCATCGCACACCTCTGAACTCCTTGAGAGTGTGTTTCAGAGGAAATTGGAGGAACACGTCATTTGTATGATTAGAAACGTTGTCGTTTACTGAACAACTTTTCACAGCTGTTCTCACACACACCGGTTGCCAGGCTATTGACAGCCATTACATTCTGTTCGATGCCTGCTGTACTCACTTTGAACTCATGAGGCCATGGTAATCAATGGGTCTTATTGCTATCACTAACACCATGGCCGTTATTTTTTGTGACCAATAGCAATAAGTGGGCTGTTTTGTTTTGTGTTTACAAACATCACCCTGGTTCAATCACAGGTATCTACACAAAAATCAACTTAACGGCTCTATCCCTGCCACCATTGGCAGCCTGACATCTCTGGGCTCCGTGTAAGGCCTCGCCTCTTCTTTCTTTTCTCCCCGCTCCACTTTCCACCTTGCACTGCCTGGTGTCCTCCAGTTTCGTATCAATCCAATTGAAAAGCAGCATCCTTCTCTGAGCTTGTTTCTTTGGATTATTCTATCTGGGTGCCAGGATCGCACTCCCACTCAAGCAAGTGTCTTGCTTGCACCTCACTTTGCACACACTCCAAGTCCAGCTGGCCTTTGGCTGGTGGCTAGAGACCTAAACCTTGTGCCTCAGCTGGGGCACAAGGACTCATGATTCTTCATAGCACAACTGGCCAAGGATTTTGTGCTCGAAGTAGTTTCCGTGTCTTGCTCTCGTCTAAACTTCGTGTACACCTCCCCCTCCCCCCCCCTTTCATACTTCCCTTGCTGTCAATGTCAACAGGTATCTCTACTCGAACATGTTGTCAGGGTCGCTGCCGTCCTCGATAACAAAACTTACAGCGCTCACCAGTTTGTAAGCCTAACTGCCCCTTGTGGGGCTATGCATGCTCTTGTACTGTCTAGTTTTATCAAAACTTCACACTTGGTAGTACCATCAAGCCTGAGCATCTGGATTATGTCACTACCGGGCCTACACTCCCCTGTCTTCACTATCCCCCTAGCATCCGCAAGGCCTGCAAGCATCACTAGTCGAATCTGTAGCATCTACATTCTTGTACCAAGCAAACAGGGTTGCTGCTTCACCATCTCTTCTCAACTCTGGGGCCCGTCTCTTGCTTTGTCGGTTCCTCCTCATGTTGCCTCTACTCTACAACAGCCTGGCTGCACCCATTCATGAATAATTTATTTACCAATGTCACCAAATATTGAGTAGTTGGATATGTGGTGACAGTTTTTTTGGGGTGGATGTAGCGAGGGATCCAAGAGTTTTGTGTTGAAGTTGCTGAGGGGGCAGCAAGGCCTGAGCTTGGAAAATCGGTGGGAAGTGCTATTAAGGGCAAGCAATTTTAGAATTGCCTGAAGCGCACATCAAGGCCTGAGCTTGAACTGTGGAGGGAGCTGCACGAGTATGTTCGGTAACTTGCCATAGAGGGCCTACGGAGGCAGGAAAGAGCATTATGGAAGAACGTGGAAAGGAAGAAGAGAGGAGACAGCGAGAGAAACCATTTTTTACTTTGCATACGTGTCCGATTACTGGCTGCTGCCTCTCCTTGTGCTGTTGCATTCAAAGAGGCTATACCTCCATGTACATCCCCGAAAAAAAAAAAAAAAAAAAAAAAAAAAAAAAAAAAGATTACCTGTCGCCTGACCTGACTCAACTAAATATTTTCTCCAATTACCCTTTTTTCTTCTCAGGGTTCTTGACAACAATCAGCTCACTGGCTCTATTCCATCCGCCATAAGCTCCCTCTCAAGACTATCATCCCTGTAAAGCACTTCCTTTCTTCATCAAATACTTTTCCTCCTCTTGCCCTGTCCTCAATCCCCTCTTCCCCCTTCGTCTCAATCCCACACCCTTCTCTCTGTGTCATCACCACCATTTGGAGAAAAGAGATATGAACGTTTTCGTGCCACTTTATTGGACTAACCTTCTCCCTGTCGACCCAAATCCTTATAACAATCAGATCACTGTCTCGCAACCAGCTCTATGGACTCATCCCTGACTCAATCGGCTCCCTCACCAAGTTATCTGTCATGTACGTAGTGCCCAGCAACTTAGCTGCAATATGAAGTTCATCCAGCAAAGCTTCTCTGCGCGTTACACTGCTCTGATTGTTGATAAGGATTTTGGTCGATCATGAAGCTGAAATATCATGTAGGTGGGCACCCACTCCGCCAATGCAGTTTCTCGTCCAGCAAAGCGTCTCTGCGCGTTCTGATGCTGATGAGTCTGCTTTTCACACACGCGATTCTTTCTCTCCTGCCCGCTCCACCATAATCTCCTCCTGACACCATCAGGAGCCCATGTGCTTTCTTTCACACCCTAAATGCAAACATGTGCCGGCCTCACATGGCTCCAAGCGTTCTCAATCTGGCCATTCTCTCTTTTTTTTCCGCCCTGTCTCTCCACCACCACATGGGCTTCAGGGGTCTTGCCTCAAACAAGCTGTACGGCCGCATTCCTGACAGCTTCTCCAAGCTCACACACCTCACCTTTCTGTAAGCCACCACACCACTCTTTGCACCATAAGCCTCTTCATCAGTACTTCCGCACCAAATACTTCAGCGTAGTTACTACTGTCAGCCTCTGGCACAATGATTGGTTTGTTGCAAGCCATGGGCTCCAGTGATTTCAATTCGATGGCCCATGAATAAACTCCCCAGGATTACACATCTTGGATCAATTTGCCTGTTGGCGAGGTGATAATCTGCTTAATTACTTTGCAAACACTTATCCTCCTCACTTCCTGGGTCTCTCTTTCGCTCCCCCTCTCCTCTCCTTCTCCCAGCAACCTCTCCAGCAACTACCTTGCCAGCCCCATCACGCTGCCCGCCATCAGCACCCTGCGCCTCTCCAGCAATTTTCTTTATGGTCCTCTGCCCAACGGGACATGCCAGGCTCTCAATTTCGATAGCAACTGCTTCACACTTTCGTCTGGCTGCACTAATGTGGTGCAGCGGCAGGAAGCAGCATGCAATGCATTCTGTGGCGTCTCCACTGCAGCTGCTGCTGCTGCTCCTTGTGGTGGAGGAGGGGTGTGCGTTCCAGACCAAGTTACCCTGGTCCCAACCTGTCTATGCGATGCGGGGTACATCCAATCTGGAATTTTCAACTGCGTGGCTGACGGTAGGGAGCTCCCTGGTCGCAGCACACACAGAATTGGGGCAGATGCAGTAGGGGTGGAACATGGCATGGGCACTCTTTCTGCAAGGGATGCGAATGCGTGTGCCCTGCCATGTCACTGCATTACACCCTTCGTCTGATATATCACTGCACTGCTATTGCTCTCAAGACGCCTCACTTCATCATCATCTGCCATGATTAGGAATTCTCAGATTTCCTCTCATCCATTATAATAATGCTTGTGTGGCCGGCATGTATGCAGGCAGCACCAACAGCACCTCAGACAGCACCAACAGTACCTCGGGCAGCACCAACAGTACCTCGGGCAGCACCAACAGCACCTCGGGCAGCACCAACAGCACCTCGGGCAGCACCAACAGTACCTCGGGCAGCACCAACAGTACCTCAGGCAGCACCAACAGCACCTCGGGCAGCACCAACAGTACCTCGGGCAGCACCAACAGTACCTCGGGCAGCACCAACAGTACCTCGGGCAGCACCAACAGCACCTCGGGCAGCACCAACAGTACCTCGGGCAGCACCAACAGTACCTCGGGCAGCACCAACAGCACCTCAGGCAGCACCAACAGTACCTCGGGCAGCACCAACAGTACCTCAGGCAGCACCAACAGCACCTCAGGCACCACCAACAGTACCTCGGGCAGCACCAACAGCACCTCGGGCAGCACCAACAGTACCTCGGGCAGCACCAACAGTACCTCGGGCAGCACCAACAGCACCTCAGGCAGCACCAACAGTACCTCGGGCAGCACCAACAGTACTTCAGTCTGCTTGTCTATTGTCCCGCCAACAACTGTGCTCACCAAAGGGACGCAGAAGGAGACGGGGGGGGAATTCACCGCGGATCCAGTGCCTCTGTTTGTGTACGGGGCGGGACAGGTGGTGTCGGGGTGTGGAGTGCAGCTCGCCTTCCGGGCCAACTTCACCTTCTCCCTCGCCCCTCAATCCGGCCGTGCTGGCAACAACGGCTTCGCCTTTGTCGTCTCGGCAACGGACCGGGTGGGGAATGGATCTGGTGTGGGGTATGGTGGCATGGACACCCGCAGCATGGCGGTTGAGTTTGACACGCTGCGGGACAAGCTGCATGGCGACATGAGCACCCCGCACGTGGGGCTGAACATTCAAGGCCAGGACCAGTCAATAGCCGCTGTGAAGTCGCCGTTTCAGCTGACCAACAGAAAGGCATACACGGCGTGGGTGGACTATGAGCCTGGGGAGCCCGGCACCATCCAGGTGTTCCTGGCTGCCACGGAGGTGAAGCCAGCTCAGCCGCTGCTGGAGAGGAGGCTGGCGCTGTGTGAGGTGCTGCAGGCTGGAGCGGAGCAGCAGGCGTTCTACTTTGGCTTCGTGGCGTCCACCACTGTGAAGCCGTTCCAGATGCATCTCATCCTCAAGTCAGGAGTTCACACAGGTAAAAGCAGCTCTAATGTAATGGTGGTAGTGGTGGTGATGCTCATGGTGATCATTACAGTGATGCTGATGGTGATGGTGAGGAGGAGGATGAACTGGTGATATGCTCCTTTTTCAGTATGCTTTGAGTCAAATTGATGAGTTATGGCTGCCATGCCTGTATGTCCTCGTCCTTCTCTTTTCTGCAGGCCTTCCAGCTCCACGCAAGCCGGTAGACATCATTCCAGGTGATCAACCCGATCCCAGGAAGACATGCTTGAAAAACAGTTTTCCTTCTCGTCACCTCTCTGCATAAGTGTCATTCGGTCTCTTTTTCCAGCACTCAATGCTGTTTTTATTGTGCAATGCATAGCGCACTCTCTTTCTCTGCCTTGCCCTTTTTTGTCAGCGATTTCAAAAGAACAACCCATGGAGACGAGACATGAGCAAGCACCCACATGTCTTTTCATCTCTCCTTTTCTGCAAACCCACTTTTCCTGCTCAGCCTTTGGTCTGACTCTCTCTGTGGCGTCATATGCGCCTGTGGGAGCCAGTCCCTTCATGCGCTACATGAGTGCGGACTACCGAGTGTTGGCCAACCAGCAGAGTGCATGGCAAGTCAGCGGCTCCCACTCCTGGGACTCCATGCCCTTCCTCGGCTGGCCGGTCAAGAACCAAAAGGACTGCAGTGAGTGGGAATGAGGAAGGTTTGGGGTATATGGATTGGAACAGTTTTTTTGTTGTACTTTTTACCCTGCTGGCACTCTCTCTGTATCAGTGATACTCCTTTTTATTCAATGAACTTCTGTGTTGCATCTCCCTTTCAGGTGCGAGTTGGGCGTATGCGGTGGTGGCGAGTGTGGAGGCAGCGTACGGCATTGCGCTGAACAGTGAGGCGCCACGGCTGTCAGTGGACTCACTCTTTGCAGCCATGGGGCTCACCTCCCTCACTGCCAAGTGCATGGCAGGCGGCTCTCCTGCCGCGGCCTTTGAAAGGCTTATCACTCTGCCCGCTGGTGGACTCACAACAGACAGCAAGCCGGTAGGAACGAGCTTTGAGTGAGAGACCAATGTAAACCAGAAACCCTGTGCAAGCATAATCGAGTGACCATACCAAAATGTAGACAGCAGCATAACAGTATATGCAGGTAGATGTGCGGACAGTGCCCTTGAGAAAAAGATACACGGGTAGCACAGCAAGTGGACAGAAACATTTGGCTGTGAGGTCAGCAAGTTTGCATTTGAATCTACCCTTGGTTGGTATGCATGCTGTGTATGCAAACTTTGCTTCTTAACAGGCTTTGCACGTCACCTTTAAACCCTTTCCTTTTTTCCTTTCCAAATCTCTAGCCCTCTTTCTGGTTGCGGTGTTACGACCACTCATTCATTTATCTCCCATTATACGCTGTTTGCTCCCCAGCCATCGAAGTACCCCATCCAGGGATTTGAGCGCACGCGGTTTAAGGGTCATGTAGGGCTCATGCTGGCAGTGCGACGACAGCCAGTGGTGGTTCACATTGAAGCCTCTTCTACCTCGTTTGTACAGTACGACGGGGTGAGTATTGATACTCTGATCATGTGGTCATATTGCAAGTTTCCTTGTAGGCATGCCAATGGGAAGTCCTTGTCATGCCTCAGGCTAAGGCTCAATTCCTCCTCTCTTGAAACCGATAAGACCTTCAACTGACATGGGTGCTCCTATTGGTGGCCACATGGAACCGATATAGGAAACCGCATGTCTCATATGACCGCATCTGTGTCTACCTTCCCTGTGCTCACCATCTCCTTCTCTCCTCCAGACTTTCAAGTACCAGGATCCTGCCTGCTACACTGGCAACCTGGACCATGCTGTACTCGTTGTTGGGTATCTCCTTTTCACAAATAACGGCCGCCCGAGCCAAACTGCTCCACCGTTTTGGATCATCCGCAACTCGTGGGGATTGGAGTGGGGAGACAGGGGCCACATGCGCATGGACATTCAGGGAGGGGATGGTGTGTGTGGCATCAACGTGTTGCCAGGCATCTACCCCATTGTCAAGAGTGAGGCATCTACCCCATTGTCAGGAGTGAAGCATGCACCACGTTGCCACTAGTTTGTGTTTGCAACAATATGAATACTTTCTGTATTTGCTCAGCGGGCAGAGACACCTTCACAGTTTTGAATTCGGCCCACTTACATGCTTGTCCCATTCTTCACACACGCTACCTTTCCAGTTCCCAAGGACCCTTGCGGCCAGAAGAGCTACAAGGGCAATGGGGATTTGCAGCCCAGCATGAACCCGTGCGGTCGCTTCACATGCCAGGCGAACACGAAGACCAACAGCAACACCTGCAACTGCACCATACCGAACGAAACCGAGCAGCCCTTTGTTGCAGTTCCGATTGGGCCTGGCTCCAATACTTGTGCATATGGTGAGTCGTTCTTGTGGCTAAACATGTCGCTCTGAACCAATCATGAGTCGTTTTCACGCGTACTGCTCTTCCCTTGCGGTACGCTTGGAGATCCTCAAATGCATCCATGGCATGGTGGTAAATGTAAACCTCTTTCATCATATCTGGATCTTAAGGCAGGGCGTCTGCTCCTTCATCTGCCCTTCCAAATGCTGGCAGGTTGTCGTTTGAATGCTTTAAATCTCAACGCAGGTGTCCTCCACGCCCCCCCCCCCCCCCCCCCCCCCCCCCCCCCCCCCCCCCCCCCCCCCCCCGTCCCTCCCCTCCCCGCCCTCCCTCCTCTCGTTTCCCCCACCATCAATCCCTCCTCTGCCGCGCATGTCCTCCCTGCTGCAAATCCAACAGTTGATGTGTGCGGTTCCTACTCTAGCAACCCCTGCGCTGTGGGGACATGCATCAATGACGGCAAGGGTGCCTACTCCTGCATCTGTCCTCCTAACTACGTTGGCAGCATAACCGTTGACAACCTCCCCACCTGCGACCCAGGTGCTGTTACATTGCTTTTTTTATAACCGTGTAGATCCACCCTCCTCAGTACTTGATCTATGATCTTCTGCATTCTCTTCACACCTTCTCTTCTGTACCGGCCTCCTTCCTCCTCTCCTTGCTCCAGCCAACACCACGGCCTCCATGTTGACAGTCACTGGCGCCAATTGGCTGTGCTCGGATGTCTTCCCTGCGGCTGGCATCTCCTTGGCTGGCTTTGCATCGCAAAACATGGTGAGAGGGGCAAGTCATGGGCGCACTTGCATTGAAACGACAAGTTGAGTGGTGGCAACGGTACACATTTACAATAGGCTTGTAGGGCTGGTGGTCTCCAAATGTTGAGGCCCTTCTTCTGATGTATCCACCACCACACTCTATCTCTAATCAGTTTTGCATGTTCTTTCACATGCAGGGCATTAACTGCAGCCAGCCTTTGCCTGCGGGCAAGGTGATTGGGGTGGGAAGCGTCACCCCCTGCACTGCATTCTTCTATGCCCTCAAAGTGAGCCTGGACCAAGGAAGCGGAATATATTACTCTTGCTCGAAGGAAAAACCCTTCCTCTATCCAATTCCCACTCTTCCCAACCTTCTCACCTTCTTAAAGGAAGTTTTATCTCTGTCATCTGTAGCTGGAGACGACCCATTGTTAACGTGTATCATCTGCACTAAGTCGTCTTGTCTCCTCTCTCCCCCACTTTATCCTCCAGGGTGATACCTGCTCCTCTATCAGCGTCCAGCTGGGACTCGCATCGACTTACCTTGCCTCTCTCAATCCCGGCCTGGACTGCTTTGAGCCCATCAAGGCGGGCCGCTCTCTCTGCATCGAGCGCAACGCCACCTTCGCCTTCACCGTCCCTCGCTGCTTGCAGTACGGCATGCTCTCAGCTCAGGACACGTGCGAGAGCCTGCTGCAGCAGAGCAAGGACTCTAGTGGGGATAAGAACACAGGAGCTGAAGTGGTGACTGCAGCCAGCTGGATTGGTCTCTACCGCAACAATCCCGGCCTCATCTGCCCCCGCACCACCCCTGCCTCCAGTGCTACTGTTGCCAGCACTCAGGTGAGGGGTGGAAGGTCAATGTCAGATAATATGGTAGGTTTTCAGTTTATGTGTTCTTCTAGCCCTTGCATTCTAAATTCCAATTGTTTCGATTGCGCTGTATCCACCTTGTATCCAGGTTTGTCTCAAGGCCGAGTACGAGTCCATCAATACTAACACCTGCAAGGTGGGCAGGCTCAAGGTGGTCTCACCACTGCTCACATGCCAAGGTGCTTTCAGCTTCTTCGGTGGAGCTAAAGCTGGACCAGCTGCAAAATTTACTGAATACAATGAGAAGGCATGCTCCGAGACCGTAGGGGTTACATCTATTTGTGTGCCGTATTGACTCTTTTAGCATTAGGTGGGTGAGGCCTTAAGTTCCGTAATCTCCCAAATTCCAGACCCCCTGCAACAGAAGACCACAGAGGTCTGTGATATGGGTTTTATTTCGCCAAGTTTGTACTATTCTCCCTTCCTTCCCCAACTCCCTCCCGCTCTCCTTCCCTCCCTCGAACTTGGGCACTGTGTTTTAGGGATATTTGTTGCGTTTTTGTGTGGTATCCTAGCTTGATCAGTGTGTGAACAGAGTTACCGTCATCACCCGGATAACGGGATATTGCTAAGATAATGGTGGTTCATCTGATAAGGGGGGAGAAAGGTGTCTTACGGTATTAGTCTTATTTAGGGGAAACACTCAGATAAACAAATTGCTCTCAAACAACTGTATAAACACAGAATCAGCTTACCACACATCAACCAATGTTGGGGAGGTCGTGACATTGTTGGAGACGCTGCATTGGGAGGAAGACGCGGTAGGTGAAAGGGGAGGGATACAAGCATAGAGTGAGAGAAAATGTGTATCCCCTAACATGCACCTCACTAAAGGCTAACTGAAAAACTAACAACTACCGTCATCGCCCGGATAGCAGGCATGTATGTCTTATCTCGTACACTACTCAAAATGCTTGGGCTATCTTGTATATGGGATGGTTTAGGGTGTCTTATAAATCTTATAAATAGAAAAAAATATAAGAACTCTATAACATTTGCAAAGTGTGTGGAAACCACCCAAGTACCATACCATTATATATTTGAAATAGGACGACCTCAGTGGTGATGCATGCAGCGCCTCTACTTGCCAAGTAAGGGATGCAGCAAAGCTGCCATTGCTGGCAACATCCCTCCGTGCTGGCATCATCTAATGATGCTGCCAGCAGCGCATGGATGCTTCCGGAACGCTGTTGGCAGCACGATGGCAGCGTGAAGGCTGTTCTCTACGAGGAGATTCCTCATAGAGGAGGCTCGGCACCTTTGGAAGGGGCACTCTGGCTTGGGGGGGGGGGGGGGGGGGTAGTCGGGCTTGAGCTTCATTTGGTGTTTAAGGAGGTTGAGATCTCAACTCAACCTTTGCTCTCGGCAGGCTTACCGTAACCATGCGCAGCAAAGTCCCCACAGGTACGTCCTCACCTCGCCCTCACGTGCAGGTGAATAACTACAGGCAAATTAACTCGCCCAGTGATGACATCCGTGTAGCCATGGCGAAGAATACGCGCAAGCGGGAAGATCTACCGTCGCCTCCAGTGCGAGCTGTGACGGGGACGACGGCGACGAAAGCGACGAAGAACACGGCAGCGACGGCGAGGAGGATTGGACGGAGAACGGCCATGACGACGGCGCTTTGGGGGATGAAATAGCTCCTGCCAACATCAACGAGGACAAATGGTGGAATCGGCCGGTTGGGAGTGACGACGAAGTGGAAGAGTGGCGGGCTGGTGATTCAGACAACGACGAGGGTGCCGATGCTGATGGTGAGCATGCGGAGGCAGCGGCGCATGCAACAGGAGCGATGGTGGATGTGAATGCTGTCAGTAGATCTGCACTGTGGATGCCCGATTGATCCTGGAGAGGGTTACAGGCGCGTTCGCCTGGGGGGTTATGGGCGCACTGACCCGCTACTAAAACAAGCCCTTTTATCCCAATGGTCTAGTGGTTGGGATTATGACATGGTATCAGAGCGGTCTCAGGTTCGATTCCCGGTGTATGCACATGTAGGCCATTGCCGCTGTGCTTAGTCCTGGGCCTTCCAGTGTGGGGGAGTGTCAGTAGATCTGCACTGTGGATGCCCGATTGATCCTGGAGAGGGTTACAGGCGCGTTCGCCTGGGGGGTTATGGGCGCACTGATCCGCTACTGAAACAAGCCCTTTTATCCCAATGGTCTAGTGGTTGGGATTCTGACAAATGCGGAGGCTGACGACGAGGCGCATGCGGAAGCGAGGATGGAAGAGGAGGCGGAAGCGGATGCTGATACTGTTGCGCCCACGGATGTGGCCGCAATTGCGGATGCGGATGCGAATGCTGCGGAGGGAAGTGCTGATGCTGTCTTCTTTGATGGTGAAAACTCCAATGACAACCCGTGGAGCATCACGGGTGACGACGATGTTCCGCTACTGGCGGAGGCTGCGTCATCGCCTACAGTCTAAGCGGAAGCGTGCTCGCGTGGTGCTCTTTGATGACGACAGTCCGGGGGAGGAGCGTCAACCGCGCATCACTGCTCTAGACAAGGGGAAAACCAAGGTCGCGGAAGCCCCTGCTAAGGCCACCGTTCGTCGCCGCACAAGAGGAAGAAGCGGAAGAACGACGGCAACCCCGGATCCAGCACGGGTGCTGCTAAGACGAAGATGAAGAAAACACCAAACAAGGACGAAATCGTGGTCAACGAGGCGCTCGGCAGCGATGATGACTACGCGGAGGCAGCAGGCCCGATTCTTCCTTTCCCTTGAGAAGGCCAAGCCAAAAGACCCTACCCTGCATAATCCCAACTCCTGTCCACCTTCCCCTCGTAGCAATGACAATAAGTAAAGGCGACGCGGATGGACCGTACGCAGGAAGCTCAAATGGGCGCGCCGCTGCCAAGAGCTCGGCACCTTGAAGAAGACATCCTTGGAATCTACCGCATCTATTGCCTGCATCAGACGCTAGAGTGCAGAGGCTGCTACGGGCGTCTACAAAGTAGCGGCGAGCTGCTACAAGCAGAAGCACGGGGGGGGGGGGGGGGGGCGCCACGCACACTGCCCCGACATGGAGGCGGCGTTGTACCTCTACGTCTGCCTGCAGTGCGCTAATGAGGTGGCGATCTCGGTGAAAGACACCCAGAAGTGGAGCCGCAAGTGGATGAAGAAACACCACCCCAGCAAGAACTGGAACGTGAGTTCTCACTGGAGCCAGCATTTCTATGACCGCTGGAACCTGGTCATGCGTGTGAAGACCAAGGCCGGCCAACGGTTATCAGATGGTGAGTGTTCAAGGCCTTGAATCCGCGCTCGATGATTGACTGCATGTTCCTTGCCCTTTGCTTCTAATCATCCCCTCTTGCCGTGGTGTGTGTTCCCTTTGCAGAGTGCACTAAGGATCGCGAGTCGTTCTGGAAGTTCGTGTGCATCAACAGGGCGTGGCACAACATCGACCTGGCCCGCATCATCAACGCTGACCAGACGCCACTCTTCATTGAGATGCCGGCCGAGAGGACGATTGAGCACCGTGGCGCGCGCTCGGTCCCAACCCGCACTGCAGGATGCGAGAAGATGCAGCTCACGGTGATGCTCGCATGCACCGCATATGAGAAGCTGCGCCCTTGGGTTTGGTTCAAGCTAAAGAACGTGCCCAGCTGTGAGATTTCGGAAGGTAAGCTCAAGGAATCCGGGAGCCGTAAGCCTAATGAGCTTGCACTCCTTGACTGATGCCCGTCTATTCCCTATGTGCCTGGCAGGAATTGTATGCCAAGCACAGGACAACGCGTGGATGGACGAGAGCGTTGTGCAGACCTGGCTGACCAAGGAGGTGCTGCCCCATCTGAACTTCCAACGTGGCCAGAACGCAAGGCGTTCGATGCTGGTGCTGGACTCCTACCGCGGCCACATCACCCAGACCATGCTTCAAGCTTACCGCACACACAGCATCACCCCTACAGTGATCCTAGTGGTGCGCACGAGCCAGATTCAACCCCTTGACGTCTCCATCAAGTGGTGCTTCAAGGCTGCTGCGCGAGCGCGCTACGCCAGGTGGTTCATGCGTGAAGAGATTCACCTGAAGACGAAAAAGGGTGAGTAGCCTTTTGAATTAAACTTGTGCACTGTTTTCTTTCCATGTCTCTAACGGCTCGCTACCCCTGCCTCTGTCCCACCCGCAGGGAACCTGTGGAGGCCTCCGCACCCCGTGTTGTTATAGTGGATCGTGGAGGCATGGGATCAAGTCCCTAAGAAGGTCATCATTGATGCGTTCCGCCACTGTGGGATTTCAAGCAAGCTGGACGGGACGGAGAACCACCTGGTGATGTCTCACCTGCACGCCAGGAGCACCACCGATGTCTCCGAGGACATGTGCCTCGGGGGAACCACGGGCGACAACACGCGCCTGCTTGGGCAGGCTCCAGAGGAGGAGGAGGAGGAGGAGATGCAGGCGGAGGGCGTGAGGGAGGTGGCCGCGGCAACCGGCCTGGATGTGCTATACCAAGAGACCCCCAACTACCACGGAGTGGCGGCTGAGGCTGACCGCATGATCGAGCCTAGAGAGACGGCTAGGCATGCCTAGCGAGTGCCAGACCTAGGTGATAGGGAGCCTGCTGTTAGTGCAGGTGAGGAGGCTGTGATAGAGGAGGGCTAGGTAAAAGTAGAGATTCATAGATGTATACATGTACCCCCCTAACGTAACTAATTACCGTTTAGAAGACACCCCCTAATTATAAGAAAACCCCGAAACCCCTGTTGTGATTATAAGACATATATGTCTTATCTCGTACACATAAATAGGTGTCTTATAATGAGGCTAGCCTGTTTATAAGAGACACCCAGATAATAGAAAACCCCTGTCTACTATTCAACACTGTCTACTATCCGGGCGATGACGGTACGAATAAAACTTTGACACACCGCCATAGCATAAATGAGGGGCATCACAATAATCAAGAAGTGAGTGGTCATAAGACCAGTCTAGAGAAGAAACAAAACAAAGCTCAGGGTGGATCTCAAGTGTAGGGGTGAGCAAAGAAACGAACACGTGGCGAACCGAACAGGTTTTGATTTTTTGCGAAAATTGTTCGCCGAACACTATTCGAGGTTCGTCCGAATACGTTCGTGCTCGTGGCGCTGCTACAGAACGCTCCGTCTCAAACACGAACTTGTTCGAGGTTCGTCCGAACACGCCTTCACAGGCGAACGCCGAACACTGTTTGGTTCACCGAACGGCCATGTTCGTGCAAGGACAAATGCGAACATGTTTGATTTCGCCCTTTGCTCACCCCTACTCAAGTGTTATAGTCACAGTAGGCCCAAATGTGCCTAAAACGAAAGATAGAGTGCACAGTCGGATTTTTGCACAGCAGCTTTATACGTTTATAGCGTTCTGGTCACAACTTCAAATGACCTGATTCAAATTGGATCTGGAGCGTCTAAACGTCGTTTATAATAAGAAATTAAGATTGCACGATTTCATCAAGTATTGACGATGCAATGTCAGCTTGAACGAACGGCACTATGGCAGCCACTAGTCCTAGAACACAAATTATGAAGAGTTACGAGGTGGGAATGACTCCCAGCCTCTACAAACCCCGAGAGCTGAGGTACAGTGATGTGGAACAGTGCCACACTGTTCCCAACCAAGAAGAGTCTTCAAACTGCCCTTCACAAGAGAAATGTTACACTACACATAGTAATGTAACTATTCTCAATATCTTGAAGTTAACTCCTTTTGGCGAGCTTCGAAATCACTAGAGTCTTAAAACAAGGCTCTGATTCTTCACCATAAACTCATCCTTGAGTTCTTGGGTGTTTCCTGCACACACCTGCGACACACCGAACGTTCTACACATGACAAAATAGAAACCGCGCAAGAGACACACGACGAAATGGTAACCGTGCATAGGACACAAACGACCGCGTGACACGCGACTAGCGATAACTCGCTATTGACTCATCATTCACAAACTATTATCAACATAAAATATATATTATTTCATGCCCTCATACCATTCCATGTACACACGCATGCACGCATACGTACAACAAGCTGAGTGCAAACCGTAGGTTGCACCAACAAACTCCACCTCGAATTGTTAGCCTTAGGATATGTTGCTCTCTGTTCAGAGCCATCCTAGCCAGCTTGCAACACCTCCAATGCTGCTGCTCCACCAGCCTCTTGGTCATCATATCAGCTGGTTGCCCCGTCGTCTTCACGTAGCACAACTCAACTTCACCCATGGCCACCATGCTCCTCGTCCAATGCCACTTCACTCTCATGTGCTTGGTGAGGCCATAGCACCCTGGCAAGTGCAATAGCACCCTGGTTGTTACAGTAGTGTCGGGTGGGTCCTCACTGCTCCTCCCCCAATTCAGCCACGCCGCTGCCACACAATCTCTCATACGGCACGGAAGAGAGCCATGTATTTAAACTCCACCGAGCTCAAAGCTTGGTCCACCTGCTTCTTGCTTTCCCAAGCAGTTGGGTCTCCACCAACACAGCATATGAAGCCTCCACAATTGTCATGTCTTTTGGTTCCGATGCATAAGAGGCATCGGATATTATAGGAACAGTAGGCTTCAATGTGCCTAAAACGAAAGATAGAGTGTACAGTCGGATTTTTGCACGGCGGCTTAAACGTTCATAGCTTTCAGGTCACAGCTTCAAATAACCTGATTCAACTTGAATCTTGAGCGTCTTAACGTTGCCTACAAAAGGCAATTTAGATCGTATGATTTCACCAAGTATTGACAACACAGCGTTGGTTTGAACGAACGGACTATGGCAGCCACTATAGTCTTAGTAACAAGATAGGAAGAGTTACGAGTTGGGAATGACTCCCAGCTCCTCCAAACCCCAAGAGCCAAGGTACAGTGATGTGGAACAATGCCACACTGTCCCCAACCACGAAGGGTCTCGAAACTACCCTTCACTAGGGCCTACACCAAGTGAAATGTTACACTACACAAAGTAATGTAACTATCTTCAATATCTTGAGGTGTACCCTTTTCGTGGGCTTCGCGATTACTTGAATCTTGACACCAAGGCTCTGGTTCTTCACCACAAACTCATCCTTGGGTTCTTGATGGATCTGCTGCACACACCTGCGACACGCCAAAGGTTCCACACACACGACAAAATAGAAGCGGAGCACGAGACACACGACATAATAGAAACCGCGCACGGGACACAAACGGTTGCGTGACACGCGACTAGCGATAACTCGCTATTGACTCGACACAAACACTCGACATCATGTCTCAACATTCACACAATATTATAAGCATGAAATATATATTATCCCATGCCCTCATACCATTCCATGCACACACGCATGCACGCACACGGACAACAAGCCGAGTGCAAACCGTAGGTTGCACCAACATCGGAGAAGGCAGTCAGGAACAAACGCCCGGGCTCAACTCCATCCACGCCCTTTTGGCGCCTTTGTGCTGCCGCCGAGTATTGTAGCCCAACGGTCGGTGTTTGGCCAAGATACTTGGCTACCCTCATTCCAGCTGCTACCTGCTCCTCATTACGGAATTAAACAACCCTAGCCAGCTGCCCGGTAGCAAAGGCAACATCCGGTCGGGTGTTAACCGCCACATAAATGAGGTTGCCCACCAATGAGTGAAACCGGCGCCTCTCCTCTTCGCCAACGCTCTCCTCCTCTAGTCCCTTCACACACTTGAACCCAGAAGGGAATAGAGTAGCTACGTGGCTTCAACCCTGCCTAAAGTTGGCAGCCAAGGCCTCCAGGTACTTTCGTTGGTGCACTCACATGCACCGCTTCTCCATATCGCGTTCGATATGAAGCTCGAGATAGAAGTTAACGTCACCAAGGGCTTTGCACTTGAACTTGTCCTGAAGCTTCAGCATCACCTCCTTCACAAGATCAGAGGAGGGTGAGAATATGAGGATGTCATCCACGTACACCACCATGAAGCTCCTCTGCTCCCCCTCGCAAAGCATGAACAATTAGTGATCGGCGATTGAGGGAGTGAAGCCGATCTCCTCCAACACTTCGCGCAGCTTCAAGTACCACTGCCTAGGGGCTTGCTTCAGCCCATTGAGGGCCTTATTCAGCTTCAAAACTCTGCCACTACCATCATCAAACCCCTCTGGCTACGCCATGAAAATCTCTTCTTCAAGAATGTCGTTGAGGAACGTGGTTGTCACGTTCATCTGCTTCACCACCCATCCTTTCATGGCAGCCTCTACGAGTTGGGTTCGCAGCGTCGTCGGCTTCTCCACAGGAGCGAACAACTCATTGTAGTCCACCTTCTCCTTCTGCTGGTGCCCCTTGGCTACAAGCCTAGACTTGTAGCGCTCAATCTTGCCGTCGGCGTCGGACTTGATCTTGAAGAGCCACTTGGACGTAATCGCCTTGGACGCCCCTCCAGTAGCTCCACCAGTTCCCACGTGTCATACTCCTCAATGCTCTTCAGCTCGCTCTCCATTGTATTATTCCACTCCTCAGCATCACTACTCTCTAAGGCCTCCTTGAGAGTTACTGGCTCCCCCGGAGAGAAGAACACGAAGGCACACTCCTCGTGGTCACTTTCCTCGTCATCTCCAACCATCATTGCCGCTCTGGCCAAGGCTGTCTTGCCCGACTTTCTCGGCGTATCATATGTCAACCTATTAGGGGCTTGGACTATCCTCTTACCCCTTCCTTCCTCCTCAACTGCAGGGACTTGAAGGCCTTGGCGTTGGTGCGGGGTGACTCGGATTCGTAGAGCACTTGTAGTGCGAGAAGGAAGTGTCGGTGCATGCTCCCTCACTTGCTGCACCTCCTCCCCCTCTTCCTCTGCGTTCTTGGCCTCCTCTCCCCCATTAATAAGAGGGGATTGCATTGTGATGGTGCTACCGCTGCTCAGCTCCAAAGGCAGCTCCACATGCTCCAAACCATAACTCTTCACCTCCCCAAACCGCACGCGTATCTTTGCCTCATTCTCTGCCTTCCAATCCTTGTAAAACAGGTTCTCCATGAACTTGCAGTCCTTGCTCACCAAGAATTTCTTAGTGAATGGGTCCCAAAGAAGCCATCCCTTGCTGTTTTGAGCCATGCCCAAGTGTATAGCCCATATCGCCTGAGCACCACGCTTGTTGTGTCGAAGATGCTTAGGTACGAGCGCCATGCACATGCACTCGAACACTCGAAGCATATCCACATTTGGCATCCTTCCAATCCACTCTACATAGGGCACCCATTTGTCTGCTCCCACATGATTCAAGGCTCTATTCTTAGCCACACACGCACTCCGCACCGTATCAGGCCAGAAGTAGTCGGGTAGCGCGGCTTCAATGAGCAGCCCGCGTGCCGTCTCCGTGATTGTGCGATTCGCTCGCTTGGCGATGCCGTTCATTATAGGGGTGTATGGCATGCTAAGAGAGTGCCTTATACCATTCTTCTTTAGCAACATTGTGAATTTCTTGCTTAGGAACTCTCCCCCTCGATCGGTGCGGATTGACTTCACAAGACGGTCTTGTTGCCACTCCATCATCAGCAACCAGTCGGTCTTCACCATTTCAGCCACGTCGCTCTTCTTGGACAGCACGTGCACCCAATTCATGTGGGTGTAGACGTCTACTATGGTGAGAAAATACTTGGCTCCAGCAGCTCCAAGCTTTAAGGGGCCCACCACGTCCATCACCACATCATCACGTGGTGCCTTAGCAGTTGCCTTCGAACAAGAGAACGGGAAACGGATGAACTTGGCTTGCATGCATGTCGGGTAGCCTGTCAGAATGTTATTTGTCTAGCTTGCAGTGGAGTGCTCAATAGTGAGTACAACCCCTTAGGGTTTGCCATTTTGTGTGTCCTGCTGCTTCCTAGTCCCCCATTCTTCCTTCCAATTCTCCTTCGTAAACCCTAACTCCTAGTTCTAGAGCAAGCCCACCTACCTCCTAGTGTGGGCCTAGGCTACTAAGCCTAGGCCCCACACCTACTATTCTAACATGGTATCTAGAGCCGGCATGATCCTGCCGCCTAGTTCATCGGGCCCACCACCTACTTCCGCTGCCGTACTATCCGCCGCGCGCCCCGTGGTGCGCGGCATTGCATTTTCATCCCGCCACGCGCTTCGAACGCGTGGCGGCTTTTTCTGCCCGCCGCGCGCTCGGGGCGCGCGGCGGTTTTCCCGTCCGTTGGAGCGCCCTCGAGGGGGCCTGCGCGCTGCCCTCCCCGCTGCTCGTCACGGCGCCCCCTGCGGGACCCGCGCGGCGTCGCCCTGGTCGTCGCGACGTCCGTGCGGGACCCGCGGGGCGTCGCCCCTGCTAGTCGCGACGCCCCCTGCGGGACCCGCGCGGCGTCGCCCTGCTCGTCGCGACGTCCGTGCGGGACCCGCGGGGCGTCGCCCCTGCTCGTCGCGACGTCCGTGCGGGGCCCGCGGGGCGTCGCCCCTGCTCGTCGCGACGCCCCCTGTGGGACCCGCGGGGCGTCGCCCCTGCTCGTCGCGACGCCCCCTGTGGGACCCGCGGGGCGTCGCCCCTGCTCGTCGCGACGCCCCCTGCGGGACCCGCGGGGCGCCGTCAGATCCTGCAGCAGCAGCCGCCGCCGCCCTGCAGCAGCAGACGCCGCCAGGCCTGCAGCAGCAGCCGCCACCAGAGCCTGCAGCAGCAGCCGCCGCTAGAGCCTGCAGCAGCAGCCGCCGCCAGAGTCTGCAGCAGCAGCCGCCGCCAGAGCCTGCAGCAGCAGCCGCCGCCGAGCCTGCAGCAGCAGCCGCCGCCAGGCCTGCAGCAGCTGCCGCCACCGAGCCTGCAGCAGCAGCCGCCGCTCTACCAGCAGCAGCAGCCGCTGCCGCTCTGCCGCAGCAGCCACCGCCGCCCAGCAGCAGCAGTTGCCGCCAAAGCCTGCAACAGCAGCCGCCGCCAGAGCTTGCAGCAGCAGACGCCCCTGGAGTTGCCCGCCACTGCAGCAGCCGCCCCTGGTGCAGCCGCCGCTGGTACAGCCGCCCCTGGTTCCTGGAGCAGCCGATCCTGCAGCAGCCGCCCCTGGTCCCTGGAGCGGCCGCCCGTGCAGGAGCCGCCCCTGGCCCCTGGAGCAGCAGCCCTTGCAGCAGCCGCCCTTGGACCTCAGAAGCCGCCCCTGGACCCGGTACGCTCTGTGCTGCTCGTGCCTGTGCTGCCCTGTGCTGCCTGTGCCTGTTGCTGCGTGTGCCTGTGCTGCCCGTGCCTGTACTGCCCGTGCCTGTGCTGCCCGTGCCTGTTGCTGCCCGTGCCTGTGCTGCCCTGTGCTGCCTGTGCCTGTTGCTGCATGTGCCTGTTGCTGCTTGTGCCTGTGCTGCCCGTGCCTGTGCTGCCCTGTGCTGCCTGTGCCTGTTGCTGCCTGTGCCTGTGCTGCCCGTGCCTGTGCTGCCCGTGCCTGTGCTGCCCGTGCCTGTGCTGCCCGTGCCTGTTGCTGCCTGTGCCTGTGCTGCCCGTGCCTGTGCTGCCCGTGCCTGTGCTGCCCGTGCCTGTGCTGCCCGTGCCTGTGCTGCCTGTGCCTGTTGCTGCCTGTGCCTGTGCTGCCCGTGCTTGTGCTGCCCGTGCCTGTGCTGCCCGTGCCTGTGCTGCCCGTGCCTTTGCTGCCTGTACCTGTTGCTGCCTGTGCCTGGTGCTGCCCGTGCCTGTGCTGCCCGTGCCTGTGCTGCCCGTGCCTGTGCTGCCCGTGCCTGTGCTGCCTGTGCCTGTTGCTGCCCGTGCCTGTGCTGCCCTGTGCTGCCTGTGCCTGTTGCTGCCTGTGCCTGTGCTGCCCGTGCCTGTGCTGCCCGTGCCTGTGCTGCCCGTGCTTGTGCTGCCTGTGCCTGTTGCTGCCCGTGCCTGTGCTGCCCTGTGCTGCCCGTGCTTGTGCTGCCTGTGCCTGTTGCTGCCCGTGCCTGTGTTGCCCCGTGCTGCATGTGCCTGGTGCTGCTCGTGCCTTGCGCTCGCGCCCTCGTGCGCTCTGCTACTGTCTGCGCCCTCGTGCGCACTGTTTCTGCTCTCCCCCCCCGTTTGCGGGTATGGGGGTGGCTGGTGTGCATTCCTCCCTTTGCTCCTCCTCCTCCTTCGTCTCCCACTGCTGCAGCTGTCGCTGAGGGGGGTGGTTGTGTGGGAGACTGGGGTTTAGGGTTTAAGGGGGGTGCGTGGGAGTGGAGCAAGCGGTGTAGCAGCGGGTGTGTGTCAGGGGGGTGGGACTGTTTGGGGAAGCTGCATGGAAGTTGCCGTACTGTAGTCCGGGGCGCTGTCCCGGTAGCCCAGTGAGCTAGACTTCTACGCCAGCCGCCCGTGGGTCCGTTGCCCGTCTGCCGCTATTTTAGCCGCGGGGCCTGTTACTCCTGTAGTCCGGGCGCTTAGTCCGGTAGCCGCTGTGCCAGTCTGCCTCCTGTTGCCCGTGTGTCTACAGCTTCAGCCGTCTCCTCCTATCTCCTCTCCCCTCACTCTCTCTCCTCCTCCTCACTTGCCCGTTGTGACTACCACTAGCTGTGCTCATAATTCTTTACTTTAAACTATTGCTTCTTTAACTTGTGCTCAGAATGTGTGGTGACATTGTGATCCACCCTGAGCTTGTACTGCTTTGCCTGCTCTGCTGATTACACCCCACTTTGTCTATGGGGGTGTGTCAGAATGTTATTTGTCTAGATTGCAGTGGGGTGCTCAATAGTGAGTACAACCCCTTAGGGTTTGCCATTTTGTGTGTCCTGCTGCTTCCTAGTCCCCCATTCTTCCTTCCAATTCTCCTTCGTAAACCCTAACTCCTAGTTCTAGAGCAAGCCCACCTACCTCCTAGTGTGGGCCTAGGCTACTAAGCCTAGGCCCCACACCTACTATTCTAAAGTACAGAGCAAAGTCAAGAGACAAGCAAGTAAAGCAGAGTGGGTACAAACCCAAGAGGAGTGTAGAAGTGCTGATGATCACTAGACTCCAAGGCCTTGGTGAATATATTAGCAGTGTTGGACTATGAGGCCACATAAGCAAGACAAAGCTGACCACGCTGCTGGAGCTCTTGTGCGGGAAAGTAACAAAGAGCAGTGTGCTTCGTTCTGTGCTCCAACCTCTGCTCCCGACACAAGGCAATCATGGCCTTGCTATCGACGTACAGAATCGGAGGAGAATGAGGCCGCTCACCCAAGTCAGACAGCAAGTAGGTCAGCCAGCGTAACTCCTATGCAGCCATAGCCCCAACGTAGATCTTGGCCTCACAGCTGGAACTAAGCACAGAAGACGAGCGGGTGGACCTCCAAGAGATAGAACGAACACCAAGCTTGAAGGTGCAACCCTGTGATGACCGCTGAGTCTCCTGGTTATTGGCCCAAAGAGCGTCTGAGTGCCCAGTGAGTACAACTCGACCCTGTCCTCCAAGCACAAGCCCCATGTGTGATGTACTGCACAAGTAATGTAGTACCCTCTTCGCAGCCCGGTAGTGCTCAGGGTGGTGTCTCTGGGGCGCAATGTAGCGTGCCAGGATGCTGAGAGGGTATGCAAGGCCAGGTCGACTGCACATTATCATGTACATGAGGCAGCCCACAAGCACTGGATACTGACTGCTCGGCTCTACGGACTTGTCTGAAGGTGGAGCTAAGAGCGAGTGACCCGTAGGCACAGGAGTGGGATGTGGCAAGGCAAACTGAAAGCGGAAGTGGTGAAGGGGATGCGTCTGACTGTCAACTCGTCAAAGGTTGGGCCGATCTCTGCTTGGTCATCAACCGACCCTGCCGATCCTTAGGCAGGTGGGTCCCGGAACATATCCTCCTAGATGCGGAAGTAACAATAGTGACCACTGATATGGGGAGGCCCGTGTCTCACCATGCAAGTCAACACCTTGCGTCTTCCTTTCGTCATTGTTGGCAAGGATACGCGTGGGAGCCTGTGAAGTGCTAGCGATGGCAGGTGGCAACACGGTCTAGTGGTCCGGCAGCTTGCTGGTAAGGCATCGCTCCTGATTGCCTTTGCGCGTAGTTGCCGTTGTTGTTTTTTTATCCTTTGCACTTCCAGAAATGATTGATAGTATATCCCATCTTCGTGTAGTATTAGCATAACAATTTCCTCTTGTCCGATGTTGCTTCTGCGCCTACTACATAAAGGCAACCTTCTTCTTTCTGTTGCCTCTTTTGTTGTACAGGTCGATCTCCTGTTGTTCGACAAGGAGGGTGGCGGAGAGCATGGTTTTGTTGACCTTGCCTTGAGCGTAAAGGAGTGAGTTGCACTGACGCCACTCGAGAGTTAGTCAAGCAAGGATGATGGTAACATTATGGTAAGCTTATGGTCACTGATCCCTCAGGTCTGTGTAGCGGTTGATGTATGCCCATGCTTTCTCTCTAGGGAGCATCTTGACGTTGTTCAGCTGATTCAGTAGACGAATGAGCGTCACTAAGTTGGTTGCCATGTATACTGTGTGCATATACTACTTCTGTGCAGGTGCCCACTGATTTCTGAAGGAGCGTATACCAAGTTGTTCCACTGGTGACAAATCGTGGATCAAGACAGTATAGACGAGTAGCGACTCATTGTAGTACTCCGTCTTCTCTTGAGGTGAGCCGTCGTTGGAAAACGGCAATGTCCCGTCGTGGAATTTGAGTGGAACTCGAATGCAAAGCTCTAGGTGTATAAGTCATTCTTGTCGAAGAGCGTGATCGTCTGGCGTTTTCAGGTGGATAAGAACTTACTTTCGATTCATGTCACTACTTCGTAATGTGCTTGCTGTGCTTGAGCAGGCGCTTGTCATTGGCGATTGTCAAAGTGAACGAGGGCTTAGAGTCGGGTCCTTGACAGGCTCTCAAATTCATTTCAGGGTACCCTGACCCATCAGTGTTGCCCCTTGGAATAGAAAATATATATAAATTCACTTTTCAGGGCTAGCTAAAATATTTATCCTGATTTTTCAGTCCTGTGCTGAGATGTTTAGTGAATGCCTGACAATCAGTCTCCAATTGGATTAGCTCAGTTGATCAAGTTCCCGCCCGTCACTTGGGAGGTCACAGGCTCAAACGGTCATGTCGTGGACCCATGCCGCACGTGCGAATCCACGCGCAAGTCTGGTTAGTTTTGTACCAAATCCTCATCGAAGCTACGTGTCTTTGCGTGATTTTTTAACGAGATACATGTCAGACTATCATAGCTTATGCATTTTGTGTAGGCTATAGTGGGGTAGCCCATAAAGGGTACAACCTAATTAGGGTTAGTACTTGTACCCAACTCTTTCATAGTTGATTCATTCCTCGTTTCTTCTCATGGTATCAGAGCAGGTTCTCTAGCAGGAACGATTCATAGAGCCCACCACTACTAATTTTTTTTCCTGCCCAGAGCGCGCTCCGCTCAGGCCCGAGTCGCGCTCCGTGTGCTCTCCCTACCGTCGCGCCCTCGCTAGGCCCCGCACGGCCCCGTCGCGTCGCCCTTACCAGCCCTCTTACGGCCCGTCGCGCCTCCCTTACGGCCCGTCGCGCCGCCCTTACGGCCCGTCACGCAGCCCTTTTGGCCCGTCGCACCGCCCTTCTGCGGCCCCGTCGCCCCGCCTCCTTCGCGGCCCCGTCGTACCGCCCTCAGCGGCCCGTCGCCGCCCTCCACCTACGGCCTTGTCGCCACCGCTTCAACGGCATTGCCGCCTCCCCTTACGGCCCGTTGCCGCCTCTCACAGCGGCCTCGTCGCCGCCTCTTACAGCGGCCCCACCGACCCCGCGTGCCGCCCTTGCGGCCCTTCGAGCCCCCCGTCGGCCCACCGTGAGCCGCCCTAGCGGCATCGACGCCGCCCTTCCCGGCCCTGACGTCGCCTTCCCGGCCCCGCCGCCGCTCCACCTGGCCTCGCCGCCACTCCACCTGGCCCCTCGAGCCGCCTTCTACGGCCTCCTCACGGCCCCACCGCCGTCCATGAGTCAGGAGCCACCGCCGCCGAGCCGCCCAGCAGCAGAGCCGCCGAGCAGCCCAACATCCGAGCAGCCGAGCCGCCGAGCCGCCCAGCAACCGAGCAGCCGAGCCGTCGAGCCGCCCAGCAGTAGAGCCGCCGAGCCGCCCACCAGCCAAGCAGCCGAGCCGCCGAGCCGCATAGCAGCCGAGCCGCCGAGCCGCCCTGCAGCCGAGCCGCCTGCACCGCCGAGTCGCCCGAGCCGCCCAGTCCGGTAAGAGCAGCGCCTCTACTCCTGCACTGCCCTTACCCTACTGTTTGTGCTGCTAGTCCACTGCTGTCATGGCTACCCCTAGTGTCCTTGCTTTTGATGCTGAGGGTAGGGCCATTGACTTTGACGTCTGGATAGATGACCTGCAGCTTTTCTTACAGTGCGATAGGGCAGACGGCCTCTCCCTCTTTGACCTCACTTCTGGTGCCTCTCCTGCCCCCGCTGCTGATGCTGACGCCACTGTTCGCTCACAGTGGGCCACACGCGATGCTGCTGCACGTCTTGCTGTGCGTCGCCACCTGCCTACCTCTGAGCGTGCGCACTTTAGTCAGTACAAGAGTGCTCAGACCTTGTACGACGCTATAGTTGCACGCTACTCCTCCCCTGCCACTGCTGCATTGAGCCGCCTCATGCTACCGTACCTCTTCCCTGATCTTGCTGCCTTTCCCACAGTCGCTGACCTCATTACGCACCTCCGCACTAGTGACACTCGCTACCGCGCTGCGCTTCTTGCTGAGTTCTGCGCCAAGAACCCCCCCCCATGTACATCACCCTCTACTGCATAGTCACCCGGCTCCCTGACTCCCTTCGCGTAGTCAGGGACCACTTCCTCTTAGTTTGCCCCACCACTCTCACCGTTGACCTCCTCGAGAAGGCCCTCCTAGCAGCAGAGAAGAGCATAGTCGCTGTAGGAGCCTCTCGTGGTGACCCTCGCACCCCCATCTTTGAGGGGTGTTCCCCCTCCCCTCTTTTGCCCGCTGTTGCCTCTGCTGCTGCGGTCGGCCTCGTTGGTCTGGAGTTGGTCGGTGCGGCGTCTACCCCTAGCGGGAAGCGTCGCCCTGGCAAGGGCAAGGGGGGCAGGGGCGCTGGAGGAGCTAGCAGGGGCTGTGGAGGCGGTCGTGGAGGTAGTGGAGGGGGTGGGGATGGTGGTGGGAATGGTGGCGGGGGTGGAGGTGTCGGTGGCGGCAGTGGAGGCAGAGGCGGCGGCGGCGGTGGCAGTGGGAGCGGAGGTGGTGGAGGGGGCGGCGGTGGAGGAGGCGGTGGCAGAGGAGGAGGAGGAGGAGGAGGAGGAGGAGGAGGAGGAGGAGGAGGAGGAGGAGGAGGAGGAGGAGGAGGAGGAGGAGGAGGAGGAGGTCGTGGCTCTTCGCAGAGGAGTGGCTCCGGTGGTGGTCCGCGCCAGCAGCAGCAGCAGCGCACTCGTGATATCCCCCCCCCCTCAGCAGCACCGTGAGTGGTACGCTGCACGCCAGCGGGGTGGGGGTACTGGTCCGTGCACCTACGTCCTGCGCACCGACGACCATGCAGGTGAGCAATGTGAGGGTGCGCACCCAACCCAGCGCTGCTTTGGCCGCCTGACGGACGCTTGGCGTCACCAGTTCCCTAAGGCCTGTGAGATCCCTCGCTGGGGAGAGCTGTCTAGAGCAGGGGTAGCTATCTTTGACCTTGACTTTGATGCTATTCTTGCTGCTATGTATGCTGTGATTATTTGTGATGAGGGTGACTGTTACCGGTGATTTCCGCCCGACCCGGGCATTAAGACTGCTGCTTTAGGTGCTGGTGAGGCTGCTGCTCTTGGTGCGGGCGAGGCTGCTGCTCTAGGTGCAAGTGCGTCTGCTTCCTCCGGTGCTGGTCAGTCTGCGCTCTCAGGTACTGCGTCGGCTTCGGCCTCCCACACCTTCACACTTGACTCGGGGGCTTCTCGCTCCTTCTTTCGAGACCGCACCACACTCACGTCGCTTGGTCGGCCAAATGCAGTCTCTCTGGCAGACCCCTCTGCGGGTCCTGTCCTTGCTCACTTCTCCACTGTCCTCCCGTGTCCGGCGGCCCCCTCTGGCACCCTGTCTGGTCTTTACCTCCCCTCGTTCTCTACGAACTTGGTGAGTGGTGCTGACCTACAGGACGCGAGGGTTCACCAGTTTACTCCTGCGAGTCAGCGGGTGACCCACTGCACGGACGCTCGGACAGGCCAACACCTGGCCACGTTTACACGTCGGCCGGGGTCAAGCCTGTACACACTGACCACTGCGTCTCCTCCAGTCACTGCGTCTGGTCAAGTAGCTGCGTCGGGTCAGGTGTTTGCTGCAGCGTCCCGGTCTGGTCGTGAGTCTGCCCCCTGCTCGTGTCGCCTCCTGTCTCACGAGACTCTCCTCTGGCACCACCGTCTTGGTCACCCCTCCCTGCTTCGTCTCCAAAGCATGGTCTCCCGTGTCCTTGTCTCTGGTCTTCCCCGGTCCCTCCCTCCCCTTCCTCCGGGGCCTGGCCCTACCTGCGTCCCCTGTGTCAAGGGGCGGCAGCGGGCTGCCCCTCACTCCTCCCAGTTTCCTCCGACAGAGGCCCCGCTGCAGACGCTTCACATGGACGTGTGGGGCCCGGCCCGCGTCCGTGGACAGGGTCACGAGCGCTACTTCCTGCTGGTGGCTGACGAATACTCGCGTTACACCACTGTCTTCCCCTTGCGCAGCAAGGATGATGTCACTGAGGTGTTGATCGACTGGATCCGCGCGGCTCGTTTCCAGCTCAGGCGGAGCTTCGGCTCGGACCTTCCTGTTCTGCGTATACACTGTGACAGAGGCGGAGAGTTTCCTCTGGCCTTCTGCGTGCCTACTGTCGTGCACGAGGCATCCGCCAGACCTTCACGCTTCCGGAATCTCCACAGCAAAATGGGATTGCTGAGCGCCGCATTGGCATGGTCATGGACGTCGCCCGTACGTCCATGATACATGCGGCTGCCCCCCATTTTCTGTGGCCGTTTGCGGTCCGGTACGCGGCGCATCAGATCAACCTTCAGCCCAGGGTCTCCATGCCGGAGACCTCCCCAGCTTTACTCAGGACGGGGAAGGTTGGCGATGCATCTGCGTTGCGTGTCTGGGGATCTCAGGCGTTTGTTTGCGGACAAGCTGTCCCCTCGTGCCGCTCCTTGCGTCTTCCTGGGTTTCCCCCCTGACGCGCCAGGGTGGTAGTTCTACCACCCCACCTCTCGCCATGTTCTGTCCTCCTAAGACATCACGTTCGACGAGTCGGTCCCCTAATACCGTCTCTTCCCCTACCGCACTCAGTCCCTTCCCGCGCCACCGCTCTTCCTTGTGCCAGGTTCCCCCCCCCGTAGACCCCCTCCCCCCTCAGGGTCCTGCCCCTTCAGGTGTGTCCCAGGTAGACGATGTTGAGCCTGTCGAGGTCGCTGGTGACTCTAGTGCTGCTGAGGGTGGTGAGCCTGGGGGTGCTGACTCTAGGGGTGCTGAGCGTGTGGGTGCTACGCCTGGGGGTGCTGAGCCTGAGGGTACTACGACTGGGGGTGCTGAGCCTGGGGATGCTGAGTTTGGGGGTGCTGAGCCTGGGGGTGCTACGCCTGGGAGTGCTTAGCCTGGGGGTGCTGCAATTGGGGGTGCTACGCCTGGAGGTGCTCAGCCTCGGGGTGCGGAGCCTGAGGGAGCTGGGCCTGCTCGTGTGGCGTCTGGCGGTGCTGTGCCTGGCGGTTCTCTGGGTACTTCGTCTCGCCGAGAGCCACTCTCTCCACAGGAGCTGCGTGAGTGGTTTGCCCGGCGCTGGAGGCGAGATGCTGGAGGTGAAGGTGCTGCGGGTCCAGGAGGTTCTGCTGAAGCTGAGGGTGTTGGTGCCGCGGGTCCTGGAGGTGCTCATACTGGGAGTACCGGAGCTGCTGGGCCTGCAGGTACTTCTGGAGCTGGAGCTGCTCTAGTGTTGGCGCGGAAGCTACTGCTGTAGGTCCTGGAGGCGGTCCTGCTGAGGGTGCTACTCGTGCTGCTGGAGGTACTGGAGCTGGAGGTGCAGCTGGTGCTGGTGCTGCCGCTGGGGGTACTGGTGTTGTCCCTGCTGTGTCTGAAGTTGCCGCGCGCCCTCGGTCGTACTCTGTTCCGCTCCTTCAGCAGGTTCTTGGTCTCCCGCCCTCTACTGGTCCTCCTCCTCCCTTAGAGTGTCCACAGCGTGTCCGGTCACAGTTACAGTTACAGCCGGCCTCCCCACTGCCTGCTCCTTCTCCCTACACTGGTCCTACTGGAGGTCTTGCTGAGCGACGTGAGCCTGCGTCTCGCCCTGCGTCGCCTGTCCGTGCTGCTCGCACTAGTGGTCGCGGTTAGCGTCAGTGTCCTCCTCCTGTGCCTGGCACGCACCGGATGTCTATGCATCCGTCCACTGCTCCTCTGCGTGCCCCTTTACCTTTTCCTCCTGAGTCTTCTCTTCGTGCTCTTGCCGACCCGGAGTCGGACTCTCTTTGTGCTGCCAGTCCTACTGTCACGCGTCTCCTTGCTACTGTTGTCACTGACCCTTCCTTTGAGTCCACTACTGTGTCTGCCTTAGTTGCTGAGCTCGTTGACTTGCTGCTCGCTGTCGCCTGGACTACGCTGCTAGTCTTGTTGCTGAAGCTGAGTCTCTCTGTCCTCCGTCCGTCGGGGGTGAGTGTGCCCTTGGCACGGACGTCCTTGAGGACAGGCAGGAGGAGTTCCAGTGCTTGGCCGTTGCTTCACCTCATCTCGTGTCCGTACTCCTTACCCCTGAGGGAGACCCGGATGCACTTGACATCCCGACTCCGCGCTCTTACGCGGAGGCGATAGAGGGTCCCTACTCTTCTCAGTGGCAGGCAGCTATGGACGCAGAGATGGCTTACTGGAAGTCCACAGGCACCTCCGTTGACAAGGTTCCCTTGCCTGGGGCGAACATTGTCAGTGACATGTGGATTTTCAGGGTGAAGCGGCCGCCGGGTTCTCTGCTTGTCTTCAAGGCGCGTTACGTGGCTCGTGGCTTCAGTCAGCGGTAGGGAGTTGACTACTTTCAGACCTTCTCTCCCACCCCGAAGATGACCTTTCTTCGGCAACTGCTGCACGTAGCTGCTCACCGTGACTACGAGCTACACTCTCTTGACTTCAGCACTGCTTTCCTGCAGGGCAGCCTGCACGAGGAGATCTGGCTGCGCCGCTCACCTGGCTTCCCTGGGACTTTTCCTCCTGGCACCCAGTGGAGCCTCTGGCGGCCAGTCTACGGTCTCCGCCAGGCACCGCGTGAGTGGCACAACACACTGAGGACTACACTTGCGGCTCTTGGGTTTGCTCCCTCTACACTTGACCCGTCGCTGTTTCTGCGCACCAACACTTCTCTACCGCCGTTCTACATCCTCGTGTACGTCGACGACTTGGTCTTTGCCAGTGCTGACACTGCTGGACTCGCCCACGTGAAGTCCAAGCTGTAGAAGAGACACACGTGCACTAACCTGGGTGAACTGTGCAGCTACCTTGGCTTGCAGATCACCCGGGACAGAGCACGGTGCACCATTACCCTGACTCAGTCACACATGGTGCAGCACGTCCTTCAGCGCTTCGGCTTCACGTACTCCTTGCCTCAGGCCACTCCTCTGCCTACTCGCCACTCACTCTCAGCTCTGCCTTCGGATGAGTCCGTAGAGTCGAGTGGCCCGTACCCAGAGCTTGTTGGCTGCCTCATGTACGTGATGACCTGCACGCGACGTGACCTTGCATACCCTCTTAGCATTCTCGCACGCTATGTTGCTCCTGGGAGACACAGACCAGAGCACATGGCTGCAGCGAAGAGGGTGTTTGCTACTTGTGCAGTACGTCGGGCATGGGGCTTGTGCTTGGAGGGCAGAGTCCAGTGGTCCTCACTGGTCACGCAGACGCTTCTTGGGCTGACGACCAGGCTATGCAGCGGTCGTCACAGGGTTACACCTTCAGCCTTGGTTCCGGCTCTGTTTCGTGGCGGGCTACTCGCTCGTCTTCTGTTCTCGGCTCCAGTTGTGAGGCTGAGATCTACGCAGGAGCCATGGCTGCACAAGAGCTTCGCTAGCTCACCTACCTGCTGACTGACCTCAGAGAGCCGCCTCGTTCTCCTCTAGTTCTGTACGTAGACAACAAGGCCATGCTGGCCTTGTGTCGGGAGCAGCGACTGGAGCACAGAACGAAGCACATTGCTCTCCGCTACTTTCTTGCTCATTAGCTGCAGCAGCGTGGTCAGTTGCGTCTTGCGTACGTGGCCTCTGAGGCCAACACTGCTGATATCTTCACCAAGGCGCTTGCGCCTTGTGATCATCAGCGATTCCGTACTCAGCTGGGTCTTGTGCCTGCCTTGCCTCACTTGCTCACCTCTTGATCTTGTTTGTACTGTTACATATATATACACATGCTCTTGCTTGTCTAGCCTTTTATATGTATATGTACTCCTGCATGTGAACTGGCCTTGTGGCCTTGAACTTGTGCTCGGAATGTGTGGTGACTTTGTGATCCACCCTGAGCTTGCTTTGCTTTGCTTGACTGGTCTTGTGACCCCTTGTTCTCCCCCATTTTGCTTATGGGGGTGTGTCACAACATCATAGCTTATGCATTTTGTGTAGGCTATAGTGGGGTAGCTTATAAGGGGTACAACCCATTTAGGGTTAGTACTTGTACCCAACTCTTTCATAGTTGATTCAT